TCAATGGACATGAAAAGTAGGCAAGAAATATACATAGTTATATTAATCCATTGAGATTTGAAGGTTACATTTCTGCATCATAGCTCACCCCATCTTGATTAGATACAGCTGTGACTCACTGGGGATGGAGATACAAATCCCTGGAGTCACCTTTGGAAGTGAACCAAGGTTTTTAGAAACCAGGTTGGAGAAGCCATTTCATGCATGACTGTTTAAATACTAATGATACCGGGATGAGGTTACACAGCTTCCAGCTGGTTTTACCTAAATCACTGCTGGTCATCCTCAGGCAATTTTCTAGAATGGTGTATGAGAGAAATATAGCAAAGTTTCTCATATATCTTTTTAAGTCTGTGAGTAGGACTGGTGTACTCCATGTTAACTATTAAGGCCCAGTCACAGATGTAATTATGAACATCACTATAGGCCATATTTTATGGAATAACAATTCAATTGTAAATAAATTTTAACTAGCTATATTTGTTCTTATTCTCTGTCAGAGAAAATTGTCTGGGTCATAATGCCAAATTAGCACTTGAAGAAATATCTTGAGTAGATAGGACCCACCGTGAATAAACCTTTGGGAATGAGACAGATTTCAATGTTATCAGTGGTCTCAGATGAAAATTTTAATGGAAGAGCATTTTGACACCTTAGGATGCCAATACCTGGTATAAATCCTTGCCTTGGTAGCATTCTGGAGTCATGCACAGGATAGGTGGAACATGTCCAACTGGACTGAAAGTCTTGCTGGCTGATGGGTGCCCCAGGCTGTAGCATCTCAACAGACAGGCTGTAAGAAATGGACATGCGAGGTAGGAACCAAAGCCAGGAGACAGAAAAGTTCTCTGGGAGTCATCAAACACTGCTCTGGGTAAGGATGCTTCTGGTTAAAAGCAAGATTTGAAAACTTGGTTTTTATCAGTTCCAAAGCTGCCACCAGCAATGAGGCAGTGGGAAGAGGCCTGAGAAAACTGCTGAGGTTTGCATACCATAAGGGAGGGTGGTTCTGGAACTCTAAGCCACAGTCTTGTTGAAAATGACAGCAGTGGGGCGCCTGGGTGGCTCAGTCGGTTGAGCGCCGACTTCGGCTCGGGTCACGATCTCGCGGGCCGTGAGTTCGAGCCCCACATCGGGCCCCTGTGCTGACAGCTCAGAGCCCGGAGCCTGTTTCAGATTCTGTGTCTCCCTCTCTCTGACCCTCCCCCATTCATGCTCTGTCTCTCTCTGTCTCAAAAATAAATAAACGTTAAAAAAAAATTAAAAAAAAAAAAAAAGAAAATGACAGCAGTAATGTGATGAGACTGATGGAGGATGAGGGTGGGGAAAAGATACCTGGAGAAATTGTCACTTGTAGAGTGTGGTAGAGGCTGCTTCAAGCCCTGGCATGAAATCTAGTGAGTAGGGTGGGCCTTACCACCAGTGAGGTAGCCCACTGCTATTGCCAGTTTACAGTAGTTACTCCCAAAACTCTAAATTCATGAAGATGTTGTTCATTAGATTTAGAATTTTAAATCACTAGCCACCCCTCTCAGTGGATTCCATTTAATGGATCACATGGGAATGCATTACATTCTTGAGAATGTCAGTTCTGAAATGAACAGCAAGTACACTAGAAAGTCTACCTCAGTCCATTTAAAACAGAGGCTAGGAATAGAGACCTGGGAGATACTTGTTTGTATTGTGGTAAAGGAGCATTAATAACAGCATAACAGAAAGTGATAAGACAAAGTTCAGAATGAGTCAGTTGATATGCCCTCAAAAGCTTATACCTGGAATATTGTACAGAATTATCTAAACTGTCTTAGGTAAATTATCTAAACTGTCTTAGTTGGACAGATTGTTGGTGTTGGATATGGATCCTCTACAGTGGTCTGGAGGTATAATGGAAAGGGTTCATTGTGAAGAATTGTGCTTTAGTACCCTGAATAAAAGCAAAGAAGGAATAAACTTCTCAAATACAATTGCATAGTTGCATGATACTGTGTACTAGAGTAAAAAATATTGATGAGAGTTTTGTACTGCTAAATTGAGTAACTTTATTACAGAGAGTGGTAGTGCAATTATAGTAGGACTTTCTTTCCTGATGTAATAAGCTTTATGAGCTCATGCACATTTTCTAAGTTACAAAGTTCTGGTTGTACAGGAGATGTAGTAGCCAAGTGAAGCGGGCACTGTTGGCGCCTTACCCAATAAATATCCCCTAGGCCCAGCTCTGAGTTCATCTGCAGCTGTGGTAAACAGTTTCTACCATGATAGCAGCTCCCCACCCAAGCACCTGCCTCTCTGTCTAATGGCTCTCTGCAGCATCATAGGAGTTTGCTGAACCACACACAGGAGCAACTCAAAAGGCAGGAGAGTTAATTCCCCAGAAACAACTCCCAACAATAGCGAAAGGGAGAATGGTGAATTAATGCCCTAGCTTCCCAGCCTGCAGTAGAACAATTATGAGATGCTCTCCACACAATTTCTCAGAGAGTGCTCAACACAACTGAGCCCCCATCTCCCACTGCAGTAATCTGCTAATTAATGTGCCCTATCTTAGCCTTTCTATCTTCCTGTCTCATTTTCCCATCCCCTATATGTGATTCCTGGGATCACCTCTTAAAAAACCACCTGAAAAAAAAAAAAAAAAACCTGGATCCATGTTCTTGCCTCAGGGTCTGTCCTCCAGAGAAATAGAACCAACAGTATAGATAGATTGATCTATATCTGTACCTAGATCTATATCCACATCTACATCTATATATAGATATTACAAAGAAGTGGTTCACACAATTAGAGAGACTGACACGTTCAAAATCTGCAGAGCTAATGTGGGAGTTCAAATCTGAAGGCAGGCAGGCTGCTATAAAACCAGGAAGAGTCAATGTGCCAGTTCAAAGGCTGTCAGGCAAGAGAATTCTCTCTTACTCTGGGAAGGGTGAGCCTTTTGTTCTATTTGGGCCTCTAATGGATTGAATGAGTCCCATTCACATTATGAAGGGCACACTGTTCTATGTAGTTAGGCTACTGTTTTAAATGTTAATTTCATCCCCAAACACCCTCACAGAAACACCAGAATAAGTTTGACCAAACATCTGGGCATTCCATGGTCCAGTCAAATTTATCCATAAAATAAACCATTATAAGGTCTGATTTGGGGGAAATCCTACCAAGGCAGCAAGCATAGCTCATCATTTTGGAGAACACTCCTCAATTTATAATGATAGCGAAGCCTCTAAGGAGAATGTTTTGTAACAATCATCCACCTCAGGAACTGTACATTGCACTCTTTGACTGCTTGTCCACATTCCAACACATAAACTTATGGCCCCTATTAAGGAGACACTCTAGCCCTCTGAGAAAACCAGACCTGGTGTCGCTGTCCATGAATTTGAAAGATAAAGAGTCCAGGATGAAATAAAAGCTTTACTTGGCATGTGCACATTCAGTACACCCTGCCTGACATTTGCCCCGATCTTCAGGTACATTTTGTCTTTCTCTGGAGCAGGCACTTAATTCCACTAACAGGGAGGTCCACGGGTTGCTTATTTCACCTACCCACACCACCCTTATCCTGCTCTTGGACAAGTCCCAAGCCGGTCCTCTGTTGGTGTCGCTGTCCGTGGTGCTGACTGAAAGTTCAGGCCTCCACGTTACACCTGTTTTCTACTCTTTGTGATGCCCACCGTGTTTTGGTTTTGTTTTTAATGCTCAAAATGATGATGCAGACTGAACGAGTGGATTTTTGAAGAATAAACTATAATTCAGGAGTAAATATGAGATTTTTCCTGCTTGAGGTGTGTTACAGGATTTAGGGCTTGGGTTTTTGTGTCCCCATTCACACTGAAGAAACAACAATTTCTTGCTGCCCCATAATCCCAGAATGAGTTCTGGGATTTAGTGAAGTTGATGGAAAAGAGCAGAGTTAAAGAGAGAGAAACCAGGGCTGCAGCTTGTATATTATTAACCATTAAAGAGGAGACAATCTCTGGCTTGGAATTTTCCCCTTTCTGACCTACATACATTCCATCAGAAAGTCCTATGACTTCTATCTTCTAAATATTTCTCTTGGATTAGTTTACTTCATCTGACCTCTGCAACTTCTTTGACAACAATGATCATTATCACAACCGCCATTACCACCCTCACTCTAGCAGTTCTAATTAGTATCATTGGTAATTGCTGGGATCATCCCTTTAGGATAAAATTTTTAAAGTAGAATAAGTCAAAGTATAGATATATTGTTTAAGTGTACCAATTTGCATTCTCATAAACGTTGTATAAGTGTGTAAGAGCCATTTTTACAAGGGTGGCAAAAACTCTAAGGCATTTACTTAAAAAATTAGTGCATTTATTGTATGTAAACTATATCTCAATAAAAAGACTAAAAGAAATACTAGAAAGAAAAGAAAAGAAAAAAGAAAAGAGAAAAGAAAGAAAGGCTAACTGAGTACTTATCATGTGCCATGTCTGGAATAAGTGTATGTAGCACTTTAAAAAAACTTTTGAGGGCGCCTGCGTGGCTCAGTCAGTTAAGCGGCCAACTTTTGATCTCAGCTCAGGTCTTGATCTCAAGTCCCGAACTTGAGATCACGAATTCACCACCCAAGTCGGGGTTTTATTAAGCCCAGCGTTGGGCTCCAAGTTGGGCGAGAAGCCTACTTAAAAATCAATCAATCAAAGTTTTGAGATAGGTTCTGCTTTACAGGTGGGATGTTGAGACTCAGTTCTAGAAACTTGTCAAGTTGAAACAAGAATCTCAGAGAGGGTCAGGGAAGCTTCCTGAGACCACACAGCAAGTGGCACAGCAAGAACTAAAGCCGATGCTGTCTTCTTCATCTCTCTCAGTGGAGACGCTTCCTTCCCTGCACCCCAGGAGAAGTGCAAAGGGTGTCTGAAAGAGCAGGAGACGAGCAAGGAGGAAGGGGAAGATTTATAAGGCAGCAGGCTGCAGCTGCAAGAGGGTTAGGAAGGGGGGCTTCCGGGGCTGCAGGGTCGCCAAAGCGGGTGTGATGCAATCACGCCAGCCCCTGCGTCAAAGGGCGGCTCCAAGGATGGGGGGACTGCGGTAGAGCTGTTCCCGACTGCCGCACACCTTGCCCCGGCCTCCCACTGTGGCTAGCCTACCTAGCCACCAACCGCTGCTAGCAATCTTTGTCCCACGCCAGGACCACCATCCAGAACCACCGGTGACCCCTGACAACGGCTCCAAGCCACTGGTAACCCCTAACAACCACCGCCAGTTATCTGCGACACCTTACAATCCCTGCTAGCCACCCGGGGGCCCGGGGCGCACCATGATGAAGTCTGCCTCAAGTTCCCGCGGCGGTGGGTCCGGTGGGCGTGGTGGTGGCGGCTGGGGTGGTGGCTGGGGCGGGGGTCGAGGCGGAGGAGGCAAAGGAGGAGGAGGGGATGGCGGCCCCGGAGGCAAAGGCGGCTTCGGGGCGCGGTCGCGTGGCTTCGGGGGCGGAGGCCGGGGGCGGGGTCGCGGAGGCGGGGACAGCAGGGACCGTGGTGGCAGCGGGCAGCGGCGTGGCGGCGTGGCCAGGAGCAAAAACCGCCGGCGGAAGGGCGCCAATGCCGTGACGGTGGAGCCACACAGGCATGAGGGTGTCTTCATCTACCGCGGAGCGGAGGACGCGCTGGTAACGCTGAATATGGTGCCGGGCCACTCGGTGTACGGCGAACGGCGCATCACAGTGACTGAGGGCGGCGTGAAGCAGGAATACCGCACATGGAACCCCTTCCGCTCCAAGCTGGCAGCCGCAATCCTGGGCGGGGTCGACCAGATCCACATCAAGCCCAAGTCCAAAGTGCTGTACCTGGGTGCTGCCTCGGGGACCACGGTGTCTCACGTCTCTGACATCATCGGCCCCGATGGCCTTGTGTATGCGGTTGAGTTCTCCCACCGCGCTGGCCGCGATCTGGTTAATGTGGCCAAGCAGCGAACCAACATCATCCCAGTTCTCGAAGATGCCCGGCACCCACTCAAGTACCGCATGCTCATAGGAATGGTGGATGTGATCTTTGCCGATGTGGCCCAGCCTGACCAGTCCCGCATAGTGGCTCTGAATGCCCACACCTTCCTGCGCAACGGGGGCCACTTCCTTATTTCCATTAAGGCCAATTGCATCGACTCCACTGCATCTGCTGAGGCGGTGTTTGCTTCAGAGGTGAGGAAGTTGCAGCAGGAGAACTTAAAGCCTCAAGAGCAACTGACCCTGGAGCCCTATGAGAGGGACCACGCTGTAGTCGTCGGGGTCTACCGGCCCCTTCCCAAGGGCAGCAGCAAGTAGCACTCAGCAAGGGCTGTCCTTGAGATCTCCCCAAGACTGTGCCGTGTTCAGTATAACCATATATGTGTTTTCTTTGTGTGTTGTTTTTCTTTCTTCTATTAAATGGTCTAAAGAAACAGTACCCAGGTGTATCAGGAGGCCAGACGGTTTTGCTGCAGTAACAATCAATCCCCAAATCCCAAAAAAGCTAAAGTAGCTCTTGATAGGAACCCATCAAGGGAGAGCATGGGAGCTGTGCTTACTCTAATCACCTAGGGCCCTGCAGGCCCCTCAGCTTCTCTTCACACATGCCTTCTCATCACAGGGGCAGGGAGTAGAGAGCTGGGGAATTGCTATTAAGCCTGTAAAGTCCTCATTGGAATTGAGGGGGCACTTCGGTTTACATTGGCAAAATTACACAATCAAGCCTTACTCCAGGGAGTGGCACTGGATATTGATGGAAAATAGTATAGTGTAACACACCTAATTTGTCTGACTCAAAGCCAGAGTTCCAGTACAATATATATTTAGTACTTTACTCCTCAACTAAGACCATTTGCATTCCCTAGTTCATTAACTCATTATACCAGCTCTGAGATGGCTTTGTTAAACATTTTCCTTTTGCATGGAGAACAACAGGGCTTCTGAAGGTACATTAGTTGCCCAAGTTTGTATAACTAGTTAGGAGATAGAATCTAAATCCCAATTTTTGGGCTCTAAATTCACTGCTATTTCCTCTATGCCAGTGGGATCTTAACTCTCCTCTGCATGGCCCACACTGGACAGATCGCAAGTCCCAACATGTGGACACACACAGAACGGAGTTCTGTGGTTTCATTGTGTTCTTTCTTCCACTTCCCTGTGTTACCTTTAAATTTCAAAAGAGCAAAACAGGGCATGGAGGTAGGAAATGGATCTACTTCACAGAGTGTTCCTACTGCAAGGCATAATATGCCCAAAGTGGTATCACCAAGTGTCTGAGAAACAACCATATAAAGGACTTCAGAAAGTACCTGTCTCTGAAAGCCATTTCCTACAGATCTTGAGTTGCTGGACTCATTACATTCAATTCTGGCTCTCTAAACTAGCCCAAAGGGAGTGGGAGAATAAGCAATCCCAGGAGGGCTGGGAATGTTCCAAAACCAGTCCTTTAAAAGACATCTTATTTATTCATTTACTCATACATTAAAGAAAATCCCCATTGCCAATTGCCAAGGTCATTGATATTGAGTCTGGGAATTATTACTCAGGAATGCATTATTAGGAGAATGGTTCTGCCTTCCTAAAGATGTGCTGGGGCAGAGACTGAAGTTAGTCTGCATTTTCTGAGAGGATATTTCCTGAGCAAAATGAGATAAATTAGATTTTTAAAAAGGCATCCATCCATCCCTCCTCGCCTCCCTTCATTCCCCCACCACATGCACACCAAAGCTATACTGCAGGCCAAGAGCTACAGTTCAGATTTGTTGGCCAGAGTGACTCAGGTGAAATAGGGTGAATGGAATAAATGTCTACAAAAACCCAACTAGTCATTTCCAAAAAAGAGTGTGAAATCTTCATTACAATCCTGAAAGGCAAGGATTGTTTTTCCCATTTAGTGAGAAAACTACAGTTCAGAGAGATGACATGACTTGCTTAAGTTCTTCCCATAGGGCTTTCAGCCATAAATCAAATACACAGGAATCTGACTCAGAAATCTGTAGCCCTTCCATGGAAATCTATGCTGGCTCTTTTGCTTTGAAAAGCCCTCTTTTCAGTCCTAGGCTTATCAATTTGATGCTGGGATGAACCCCTGAGGCTGGGGATAGACTTGCAAGAAACTTCCAGAGCATTACAGGATCCAGCCTCTGTCAAAGTGAGCTCAGCCTCAAGAAGATACATTTGGTTCTTCTTTACAGGGTGTCTGTTCCCCAGGGTGGGAGACAGAACAAGGAAAACTCAGCCTCTTTCCTTGGCAGGAGAACCCTCACATGCATACACAGGGACAATGTATAGTCCATGTCTGAACCTGCTTGAGATGAGACTATCAATGGAGAAATGGCATGAAAACAGCCTCCTAAAGATTGTCTCTGAGTTGCAGATGCGTTCCTGGGCCAATGGAACAACATGGTAAGCACCAAGAGAAATATGGGAATTAGAACTAAGGGAAAATAGGAAGGAAGCTGGAACCTGATTTGGAGAATAAAGGCAGGGAAAAGTATGGGACTGTAACTCCAGGGAGCAGTGAGGCTCAGGAAGTAGGCAGCAGTGAATGCTCAGGGTCACCTGAGATGCTCAGGGCCAAGAATGTTTGAGTTCCCAGAAGGTATTAAACTGTGATTTCTAGGTGTCTTAGACTGCTTGGGCCATCATTGCAAAATACCACAGTCTGGATGCCTAATTTTCTCACGTGTCTGGTGGCTGGAAGTCCAAGGGCAGGGTGCCAGCAGAGTAGGTTTCCAGTGACCCTCCCCCTTCACTTGTTGATGGCTGCCATCTCCCTGTGTCCTTACATGGCCTTTCTCTGTGTGCATGTTGGGGGGCAGAAGGGGAGAGGAGAAGGGGATAGGGAAAGCTATCTTTGGTGTCTCTTCCTCTTTTTTTTCAATTTTTAATGTTTTATTTATTTTTGAGAGAGACAGAGACAGAATGCAAGTAGGGGAGGGGCAGAGAGAGAGAGAGAGAGAGAGAGAGAGAGAGAGGAAGAATCTGAAGCAGGTTCTGAGCTGCAGCATACAGCCTGACATGGGGCTTGAACCCACAAACCATGAGATCATGACCTGAGCCAAAGTCGGACTCTTAACCGACTGAGCCACCCAGGTGCCCTTCTTCCTTTTCTTATAAGGACACCAGTCCTATCAAATTAGGGCCCCACCTTAATGACCTCATTTAACCTTAATTACCTCTTAAAGGCCCCATCTCCAAATACAGTCACATTGAGGGTTAAGGCTTCAACACTTGAATTTAGAGGAACACAGCTCAGCCTATAACACTAGGGAGGGACAGGAACCTTCAGCTAAAATGCCTCTCTTACTGGCTTGTGAAGATTGACTGAGGAAACCCACGTGCAATGCGAAATACCTGCACAGAGCTCTGCATGTTGTTCCTCCCTCCCAGGTTTCCTCTTATTGGCAATATAAGATGACAAGTTAGCTGAGAATTAGGAATTAGCATAAAAGCCAAAGGTTGCACTGGAATCGGGGGATTTCCTACTAATCCTACTTAGTAGGATTTCAGTTGGGCCCGATATTCAAGCTGAAAGCTGGATAGAAGTTGTTGCTGAGTTTCAGAGAATCAACTGCCTAGCAAGAGCCACAGCAGAGCCTGGCCCAAGCATTTAGTGCATGGCCTCCCGCAGTCACCTCTGCAGCAGGTGCATGAAGGTAAAAGGCTGATACTTGAAGATCAGGAGTGATGATCTCTGCGCCAAAGTAAGTCAGCACAAGCTGGTGCGGGGGAGCGGAGAACACACAGATCCAATCTCACCTACCCTCACCATCACCATGATGTCTGTCAGCCTCCCTCTGCCCAGATGCCTTCTGGGATAAAGGGAGGAAGAATAGAGAGGGTGAAGACCTGTGAGAATGGACCTTTATCCAAAAGAGACTGTTTTAAACTGGAAGAAACCAACTTCCTTTAAATTGGCAGTTTCCTCCCGAGCTGCAATCCTACTACAAAGCAAGATGCACATCTGAGCTGCAGTGAGTATGTTTGGATTCTGCTTCACTCGTATTTTTCAAGCACTTATGAGGTCTCAGGCATGAAGCTAAGCATTATTTGATTTTAAAAATATTATTTTACATCTCATAATGAGAACAAATGTACCAGACAAATACTGAAATGTAAATGTTCAGCTTAATGAATTGCTGTAAAATGAACAGTGCTGTTGGAGCTATTTCTAATATTTGTGTGGTCTGGAGAAAGAGAATATATGAAAGCCCCTGTCTGGCCCATGGCCTGCCCTTCCTCTTTCCACCCCTCATCTTCTGCATACCTGGAAAGGCCTCATGCACACGTCTGTAGTATCCCAGCCTTCAAATCCAAGGTCTGTCCCCATGCCCTTTAAATAGCCTTCTTTAAGGCACTCTGTGGGACTAGAGTTGCAAACTGGAAGTGTTATCTCCCAGGAGAACTGGCTTGGGGAATACAATAGAAGCAGGTCCAGGCTGACCAGGCTGGGTTCTGGTGTCTGATCCACGATCTAGAAGATGGGGACGTGGGCTCCTGGGGTGCATGGCACTTGTTTCCTATAGCCTCCTTGCCCTGTGGGACAAGGTGCTGACAGAGGAAGGCCAGAGCAAAGTCCTGTAAAGTATGGGGCCCAGAGCAGGTGTTCTCATTGCTTATGTCTTAGAGTGGCCCCTTTGTCTCTCTACCCACACAAATGTCCACATTCCTTCTTGAGGCAAATCTAACTCTTTCAAATAGTCTTCCAGGCCTTTGGGCCCAGAGGAAATCCCTCTTCTGAAAGCTCTTGATTCATGTTCTGATTGAGACAATATCTAAGTATGCACATACTATGTGTCAGGTGCTTCCAGACAACTTTTTTAACTTAACCACCCCCTTGGAGGCAAGTGTTATTGCCCCCATATGACAGATGAGGAAACTGAGGCTCAGGAAAGTGATATGAATCACCCAGTGTGGTTTGGTTAGAAAGTGGGAGATCTGGGATGTTCTAGAACAGGATTATGTTGTTTCTTTAAGTTAGTGAAATTAACATCAAATACTCTAGGGAAAGACTTGGCTTCGGTGTTTTATTTTTTTAATCAGTCCCCCAGGTGATTCTAATGTGCACCCAGGGCTGATACCCACTATTTAAAAATCCCATACCATTCTTGTCTTTGATTGGGAAAGGCAAATTTAGGATAGTATTTTGAATAACTGAAAGACAAACTGAACTTTTCTCCAGTACCTGCTGGTACTTGGGGCCTCTATGACAGGCCAGGATATTCCCTAAGATTCCAAAAACGAGGAGGATTAAAGTCTATGCTTGAAAACAAAGTTACCGATGTTGCTGTCCATTTCGCCCCTGAGGGCTGCATGCAGATCATGTTTGTCAAAAGTTCAGCTGAGCTGGGAGAGCACTGAGCTGTCAGGTGTCAGAATTAAGTTTTAATTAGTGCCATGGACTGAGCAAGAAGGTAAAACTAGAGAAAGTGCTGA